TTGAATCACGTAATGTGCGTGGGCTCGGCCAGCTTGTGGGCTAACGGCAGGTAAAGAATGAGGCACGTGCTCAAGCCACAGCCCCCTGAACAAAACCAGTTGACCTTCTTTGGCTAATGAGCTGCGCATCCCGATTGAAAAAGCCGACTATAGTCGATCAGAATACTCTTACAAAACTGTTTAGTATGCAGTGCCATGATCACAGCCTACTCTAGCTCGCTCGATTGCGTGCCAATCGCCCGGGTCAGTTGGCTTAAAATATTCCGGCTGTCAGTCTTGACAATAAAGGTACTGAGACACGTTCATACGCAAATGCTTGAGAAATGAAAGGATTTTATTTTTACAGAGGCAGTATTTATAATAAGAGCTGTCAAGTATGCGCTACATGTCATGATTAAATCCAAGAACTTAATTAGTTAATCAGCATTGATGTAACATTGCAATAAGTTTAAACAATTTATATCAGTTTTCAAACGGAATACGGGTGCAATAACCTTTGAGAACCGGCAGTGCAACCAGATAAGGCTTTCCGGGGTAGACATTTTCCCGGCATTTAGAATCTGACTTTCATGCATGTATATATCAGCTCTTTAGTATGAGAAAAAATCACAGCAAGTTTTCCACGCTATGAAATGTCCTGTTCGGTGAATGTGTTCGAACTTTACTTAATAAAGTTCTACGCAAAACTGGACATTTGATCTATTTCAAGTTCTATCTTTATGGTTTATAGAATCCGCGAAAAAGCTTTCTTTTCGTGTTGCTGTTAGTATACACTTAGGGAAACAATTACTTTACTCAATTTGATAGTAACAACTAGAAACAATAAACTATTAGCATGGTAACAGAGATTATTTCATGCCGATTTAAAGTGAAATTTTTCAATCGGCTTCAATTCGCATGGAGCATTTTTCTGCACCGATTATCGAACGACCAACCGAGAATTTGGATTTGCCGCTCTAAAGTTTACGTTAGATTTTATGCTTAACCCTACAGGCCCGCAAAAATTGTTCATTCGACTCTGATGATAGCTCACTGACACTTCTGTCTCTGTCCTGCTAATCATTTTCTCGTGTAGTTTCACTCTAAACGGTTCGCTTATTCTCTCAACAGGAGCATCTTTCCGCCTGGGAGAGAACCCGCATCTTGATCTCACCAAGATGGCACAGAAGTACGGAGACGTGTTCAGCCTGATGCTTGGAAACCGCTTGGTGGTGGTACTCAACGGAGTCGATGCTATACAAGAGGCCATGGTAAAGCATTCCAAAGCCCTTGCTGGCAGACCACAGCTGCACACCTTTAAACTTGCCAATCCTGGGGGAAACAGTCTTACCCTCACTGATTACTCACCCCAATGGCGACTATCTCGCAAGATCAGCGTCGCTGCGATCCAGAACTTTGCCAAGAATACAGACGCCTTGGAAGAGAAACTGCTGCAGGAATCTCAACGAATGGTCCACTGCTTCAAGCTACAGAAAGATAAACCCGTTGATGCTCTTATAACTCTGAAGTTGGCCACGGCTAACATCATACTTGGTGCGCTATTCAGCATCAATGGCTCCTACGACGACGAAGGCCTTCGTGGACTTCTCCAGCTGGCAGACGGCTACAGTGATGCTGTGAACGGTAGCAGCCATGTTGATTTCTTGCCGCTCCTGAAGTACCTGCCCAATAAAGCGCTCTCAAAGCTTGAATTTTTATTGAAGGCCTTTAACGATGTCACCACCAAGATGTTTTTGGAAAACAAGCAAACCTACACTGAAGGGCAGGTTCGCAACATCGCAGATAGCTTCATCAGCGTTGTCGAGAAAGAAACCATGAAAGAGACGGAGAATCGTCCTGCTGGAGAGGATACCCTTAATATGGCTCCTCTGCTAAGCGATGAACAGATTGTTGTAGCCATGATGGATCTCTTTGGCGCTGGCTTTGAAACAACTTCCGCCACCATATACTGGGGTCTAGCTTACCTCATGAAATATCCCGACATCCAACGCCAGCTGCACGAAGAGTTGGATCACGTGATCGATCGACAACGACTTCCGACCCTGGCAGACATAACTTCACTTCCTTTGCTACAAGCCACAGTCTACGAGCTACTGAGGGTTACAAGCCTCGCTCCTCTCTCCGTCCCTCGCTCCACGACCACCGAGACCAAAATTCGGGACTTCACAATCCCTAAAGACACCATGGTTTTCGTTAACTTGTGGTCGGTACATCGTGATCCAACAACTTGGAATGACCCGGATGTTTTCAACCCAAGGCGTTTCTTGAATGGAGCTGGTGAGGTGCTCGATCCCAAGTCCCTAGGAGGATTCCTACCATTTTCCATGGGCCGTCGAAAGTGTCCCGGTGAACCTCTGGCTTTGAAATCACTTTCTGTGTTCCTTGCAGCACTGCTCCACAGCTTTCGATTTTCGCAGGAAGGATTGCCAGCCGAGTATCAAGGCGTTGATCTACAGGGAAAATGCGGCCTTACTTTGGCGCCAAAACCTTTTTATGTTCGAATCGAGGAACGGCTATAAGAACACAAAAATGACTGATCAGAAATGATCCAAATAATATATCGATCGCATAGGTGGAACAATGTCGAGTCATCCCAATGGGATTAATTTCTTTTGGCAAAGAGCAGTGTAGAAAATGTTTAGTAAGTTGAGCTATTATGAGACTCGAACTTTACCGAGCTTTACAAATAAGAATTGTGACTTGATTATTAGACTCTGTATTTATCCTCAGTGCTATCGAATAATAAAAAGCAATTTGCGTATGAAATTGATTTTGTGCACTGTGTAATCAGTTCAAAATTTTTATAGCTAATAAAACACTTTATCACATATATATTTTTTTCACGCAATGAAGCAAATCTTACGATCGAAGTGTAGAATGCTCGACTTAAGTAGGCAGAGGATACTAGAAAACTGGAATTAATCTTTTAAGTGTAAATCAAACTGTAAACAAATTTGAATTGATTAAAAGTTACTTTGTCATAACAACTTGATTGTTGAATTGTTTTTTGTGTGTGTGAAATCTCTTTGCAAAGGCTGTCGTTCAAGGCGCGATTAAGGGTTGCTGACAGTCTGAGGAATTAAACTAATCTAGTTTCCTTGCTATAGCAATTAATGCTTTTTACCTATTAATTGATTGATCGCGATGAACAGTTGAAGGAAAACTTTCTGTGCTTTCAGCAAGATCGTAAAGCAGCGCTTTCCACTAATTTCTACTAATGTTAAGTTACGTTCATCAAATTAAAAGTGAACGGAACGAACAGAAATTCATACTGGTGTTAAATGAAAGCTTGAATTTCAACAGAGTGGAGACGTCATTAGTCTTTAAGGAAACTGTTGGGGCTGCGTTGGTGGGCAACTGAAACACTTAACTATAGTATTTCACGTATTTATCAAGCTGACGATAACCGTCGTAACGGGTTTGTGAAGCTGATATTTTGATAGTAATCCCTTGGTTAGCCAGGGCTGACGTTCGAATTGTGGGCATCACAACCCGGGGAGGGGACTCCCATATGGAGTGAACGGGGATGCTCGTCGGAAAGTTTGAATTTAACCCCTATCAGTACCTAAAAGAGACCAATCTGGGTGTGGCCGAAGCTTATGCAGACCCCTAAAAGAGACCACTTTATAAAACAGACAAATAAAAGGTAGAGTGACATTTAATGATGGCGAATTTGTTTGTATGAATTGAGTAAATATAAAGAATCAAAATTCTTTCTGTTTTGTTATTTCTTCGCGTGCAGCCCTTAACGAGACTTTGACGGCTAAAAATAATAACATTTTGCCCAGAAAACCCTAAGCGAGACCAAAATCCGAAATTTACACCCCTAAGCTTCACAAACTCGCTACAACGGTTAAACTCCCTCTATCAACGTCAAGTTGATAAATTCCCTGGCAGAGATATTTTACTTCTTGTTTCTGCTACCGAAGCGCGAAAATAAATGCTGAAAAATACCGGCTTGCGTATGGGATTCCAACACCCATGTCGTACATCGATACCCGCGTTGCAGATGGGAAGTACAGAGAGCGAATATATACCCTAATACTGTATTCGAGTGTAACTATAGTACTGCGACAGAGAAATATGGTACATGAAAGATCATAGTGACTATGAACACATTTTGGACATTTTAAGCTGTTGGGAAAATTAAGCCGGCTGAAAAATTCAGACTTGACAATTTTGTGAGTTCGTAATATGCCAGACGTTAAGGTTTAAAGGCAAGCAGCATAAAGAAATATTTAAGAAACTAGGAGTAATAGCTAGTAGATGAGGGAGTGCGTTCGATACGTTGTGTGACTGCAGTATGAAGAGGAATGTTATTATTGCTTTGTGCTTCGATGTGCATGGGGTCTTGACTTTTACAGTGTAAATTATAACTCAAGATCTCCGGGATATGACCTAAATAATTCTTTGACTCGTAGAATCGGTAAATTTATGTTTATGTTGTGGCAAATCTGACCATTTGCCGTCGGCGAGCTGCATAACTCGGAGCGCGCAAGACTTGTCTTGTTCGAAAAAACCATGCTTTGTCTGTAGGTGTGAGCCAGGTTTTGTTTCATTCATGACGCAACAGTTGTTTGCGGTCAATCGTGACCGGGTTGATAACACAGGAGTCGTACAAAAATAAATGTTAGCTTCTGGACAAGTTGAGGAAACTTGATTTGAGAAAAGATAAATTCCTTAATTGCTAATGACATCCACACCAAAGACAATTCATGCACGCTACTTGCTTTGAAAATAAACGTACGCGTGACTTGCACGTGTGCTGGGGACGTCATTCGCCCACGAAAAAAAAATTCTTCGTGGGGGGATGTGGGTGGCAAAATGTGAACTGCTCGAGAAAATCTCGTTTTTTCTAATTTGGGTGAGACACAGGGAAACCAAGACGAAATATTATGCGTTCTCGTTCCTCTCGGACACAATTAAGAATATTGAAACAAAACATATTGGAACTGTGGTAGAAGTCGTAAAGAGATTGCTACACAAAAGATCCGTACTTATGCACGCAATGTAGAGTTGTCAAAATACATGTAAAGCTTTATAATGGCTTGATTTTGGTTCGTGCCTAAGGGCGTATTTTGGGGGGAGGATCCCGACTAGGATCCATAATCCAAAATCACACCGATGAATCCTTGCATGAGTTCCTTCATGCACCATGATGCGACATGTCCCGGGTTCGTTTCGTTGTTGTACGTCGAATAGTCATGGCAACAGCACTATGGGTGTCATTTTGTTTCTTTTGTGATGTACATTTGTGCCAAGTTTCAAGAACACTGCTTCAATATCTCCTGAGATATCGTTTATTTGGTATTTTACCAAGTTAGTGGCAAACCTTATGACGTCAGCACTGATCTAATTTGCAGAATAGGAAAACGTCAATATCTCTAAAACGAAAAAAGATATCCCAAAAAGAAAAACGCCATTCTTCTGTATTTTGAAAGGCCTTTCAAGTAAGCAGAAATTATTTTTCATGTCATATACACTTTAATGTTTTGCTACCTTAGAAAACTGTTGTTTCTGTTGTGACGATCCCTTGACTGTTACAGTAATATTTGTACACCAGAAGAACGATTCTAAGTCAGTTAAGTGTCGCAAAAGCTTTGATTTTAATCGTCGACAGAACAAGAAGGATACTAGTCCAAAAGAACGCCGGAGAAGGAATATTGTTTGTTTGATTTTCATTGCTGCGCCAATAGATCTGTCTGGGTCTATTTCCTTGGTTTTCAACCGAATAAGTATACCAATTATACTATGAAGGGTCTTAAGTGTTTTTGTCCCTCGAAGTCAAAGTTACATACATTATATTGATATATATTACCTTCTACAGACCATGCTACAGCAAAAAATTAATGCTTTCCTGCGCCCTGTACATAATACTTATCCTGTTTCTAAAGGAAAATTCCTTGAAATTGTATTTTGTTGTTTT